GTCAACACAGCAATTCACTCGATGTTCCTTTTGCTGGGGGGTAAGGATTTTTGGCACCACTTTAGCACACACCTTTTTCATGCCCAGATCGTCGTGCAAAATCTGTCTAACACTTTCCTTATTGATGTTCGTAAGTTCAGAAATTGCTCGAATGCTCAGTCGACGATCTCTTCGAACAATTCTAGCGACCTTCTCCACATTCTCTGGAGTTTTCGCAGTGGGAGGACGGCCCGATTTTGGATCGTTCCCGACGTTTTTCCTACCCTCCATAAACTTCTTAAACCACTCGAAAACTTGCGTGCGAGATAGACACTGATCACCATATACTTCTGTCAACAAATTGTAAGTTTCAGTGGCAGATTTTCCAAGTTTTGTGAGGAATTTGATGTTAGCACGTTGTTCTGCATTAGCACTCAGCATTATTCCGACGGAGCTCAGAAACACGATCCGCTTCTAACAATGGTCGCGGCCAGACTAACCGATGCACGTGAATGAAACTTTGTGTGACGGTAGAGGGAAGTCCAAGGGTCAATGCCCTACCCTCCTCTTCGTCAATGACGTGGCCGGAAATGAGTCATAAAAGTAATCCGGGTTCTTTATTGCCACACCTTGTATTGTACATAGAAAGTACAAGTGTGGATTTGTAAATTATGTAAATACAGACTGACTGACAAATGACAGACCCGACCTCTCATTAGAGAGGGCGCCCCAAATGGACAGGACAGCAACTTTCACAGAGAAGAAAACATCTGGTCATAAGCCCCACCTGGGGCTGGACACCAAGACAGACAGACTGACCGACCGTCAGTTGTAACATGATTTTGTCTTTGACTTGCAATGCGATATTGACTAAAGAGGGAGTGTTATCTAAATTACCGGTGGAAACAGCGTGCTATGTTGGATGTCCCGACCTCACTCCCCCCCTCTCGGGAAAATTGATGTTCATAATTTCAGGCGAGCGGGTAAATGGATGTGGCGCCCGGAGCGTGTAGTTCTTGTAGGGTACTGTGTTGTGATGGCAGGTGGTCCTACGGTCGGTGTGGCTGCGGCTGGTGGGTTGATGCTAGTTCCGCGGTCGGTCTCTTGCAGGATGTAGGCTGGCTTGTCTCTGTCGGCTGATACAGTGACGTGCTTTCCGCGCACGAGGAGTTGCAGCGTCTTCTCTCTCCGTGACAGGACCTGGTAGGGGCCGGTGTAGGGGGGCTCCAGTTCCCGGCGTGTTAGGTCCTGCCGAAGAAGACTTGGGTACACTTCTCAAGGTCACTGTGCACGAAAATAGCTGGGGAGGCGTTTCATGCTGCTGGGACTGCTCGGAGGCGGGCCATGTGCTGGCGGAGCTCTGTGATGATGTTCACTGGCTCCGCGGGGTCGGTAGCTGGAGTTAGTAGCTACCCGGGAATTCGTAAGGGCTCGCCGTAAACGAACTCAGCTACCGATGCTTGCAGGTCCTCCTTGAAAGCAGTGCGGATTCCGACGAGTACCAGGGGAAGCGCCTCAGTCCACTGTTGGTCCGCGTGGAACATGATGGCTGCCTTCAGCGTCCGGTGGAAGCGTTCCACGAGTCCGTTTGCTGCTGGTTGGTGGGCGGTTGTACGTGAAAGCTGGATTCCGCACATCCTGGCCAGGAATTTGGAGATTTGTGATTCGAACTGGCGTCCCTGGTCGGTGGTGATCGTCTGCGTGCAACCGATGGGTAATATCCAGCCGTTCAGTAGGCCCCGTGCCCCTGTGTCGGCTATGATGTCCGAATGGGGACGATTTCTGACCAGCGGGTGAAACAGTCGACTGCAGTGAGGCAATATGTGTAGCCCGCTGACGTCGGAAGGGTTCCCACAAGGTCGATATGTACGTGCGGAAAGCAGGCTACCGGCGGTGTAAAGTCGCCCAGTGGAGTGACTGTGTGGCGGGAGACTTTGGAGCGCTGGCAGGACTGGCAAGCACGTTTCCGGGTGCGGCAATCCTTCTGTACACCTGGCCACACGAATCGCTGTGCGACCAGCTTTGCTGTTGCTCTGGTGCCTGGGTGTGACATCTCATAGATGGACTGGAACACTTGGAGTCGTAGAGGCGCTGGAACGTACGGCCGAGACCTCCAGGTAGACGTGTCGCAGTAGATAGAGACTGCGGTACCGGGGACTGGTCGCAGGGCGGTGGTTGACCCCAGGAGTGCTCGGAGTTCGTCGTCGCTGTCCTGTGATGCGGCGAGTACGTCGTAAGGTGGTGGCGCAGTGACGGGCTCGACACGATAGAGGGCGTCGGCGACAACGTTGTCCTGTCACGAGATGTGTCGGATGTCGGTTGTGAACTGGGAGACGAAGTCTAGATAGTTGAACTGCCGGGGTTAGCATTTATCCCGCTTCTGCTGGAAGGAGTAAGCGATGAGCTTGTGATCAGTGAAGATGGTGAAGTGTCGCGCTTCCAGCATATGTCGGAAATGTTTAAGGGCCTCGTAGATGGCCAGAAGCTCGCGATCATAGGCACTGTATTTTTGCTTGGCAGGGAAGTTTTTTTCGAGAAAAATGCGAGGGGCTGCTAGACGTTATTGACTTGTCTCTGCAGCACGGCACCCATGGCGGACGTGGAGGCATCCGTGACGAGTGCGAGTGAAGCGGTGGGTCAGTGTGTGCGAGCAGAATGGCGCGTGACAGGCTCGCCTTGCACTCTTCAAATGCCTTCAGGAGCTCCGGTGTCCAGGAGACGGGGTGGGAGCCCTTGACTCTGGGACCGGAGAGAACGTCGTGCAGTGGTGCTTGGGTGGCAGCCACATGGGGCAGAAATCGCCGGTAGAAGTTAACCATGCCCAGGAACCGACGGAGCTGGCTGGCGGTCTTTGGTGGTTGTCAGTCCTGCAGATGAGTCACTCGCTCTGCGAGAGGTTGGGACCCCTCGGCGGACACCTTGTAGCCGAGGAAGGTGATCTCGGGTACTCGGAAGACGCACTTCGCCGGGTTGATTATGATCCTGTGTTTCTGGAGTTGCTGGAAGAGTTCCCGCAGATGACCCTTTTGCTCCTCCGGTGATCGGGAGAATACGAGGATATCGTCCAGGTACGCGAAACAGAAGTGGAATCCCCGCAGAATGTCCATAAACCGTTGGAAGGTTTGGGCGGCATTGCGCAGGCCGAAGGACATGAAGGGGTACTCGAACAAGCCGAGAGGAGTGGTAATGATCGTCTTCTGTATGTCGCCGGGATTGACTGGAATTTGGTTATAGCAGGGGTCGGGGAACTTTTTTACTTATTACCCCAAGATATATTTATTTACGCCGACGTTACCCCCTTGATTTGAAAGAGAGAAAATCATAGATTATTCAAATTCAAAAGGTTTATTGAATTTATTTATATGGAGAATACAATTATAAATATAAAAAGTATAAAATAAATGCGATAAAATACGAGTAAATTAATATCCTCATTATGAAACAAAAGGATTTCTTAGATTTTTTTTCACTTGAGGTTTTGGAGAAATGATGTTTCATTTTTGATACAGTAACATAAAAATTGGGATATTTTGATGTCAGAGCAATTTGCATACTGTCTTCGGGGTCCAATCGATTTCTCTGCTTTGTTTTTATGTTCAGTAGAGTGGAAAATCCTTGTTCGCAAAGGTAGGTTGTTGCAAAGGGCAGCAACTTTTTGACTGCCTCCTCATGTGCAATTTTGAAAGCATTTGCAGCTCTTGACATCCAAAAATATGACAGATCTGCTTTGTTTTCAAATTCAATACGTGCTTCATTATTGGATTGAAGTTCAATAAGTGCCTGTGCCAAACCTTGAGGCTCTTCTGGTACATCAGCAATTTGACATTTAAAGGGATCTACAACCCAACTGACATTATGTGAATCAAGATCAGGAAAGTAATCATCGAATCGCTTTTTGAGTTTGGTAAGATGCTTTATAACTGTGTCCTTGATGTCAAAAGTAATATTTTGACAATCTTCCAAAAACAAAGCCAACCTTGAAAAGGCAGTAAGTAATCTTGTTTTGTTCTGCTTTCTGTCTCCAATATAAAAGTATGTAGTTTCTTGTTTCGGGCAATCAACCAGGCCACTTCAAAGCTGGCCTTTGATGCTGAACGTTGATCGAATGTACTTCTCAAGTTGCTGTTCAGTCTTTGTTTTTTGACAGACATTTCTAAATTTACAAAGTATTCCCGCGGTTTGGGAGACAGGTGTGGGTGCAAATTATTCAAGTGTTTCTTCAATTGACTCTTTATAAAGATTCTGCAGTCAGTACTTTCAAACAGACAACACACTGTGGTTTCATTATTCCTTTGTCTTCTATTTGTGTAAACCCGTAATTGAAGAACTCTTCCTGGTATATTCGTTTTCTAGTTGATGTCATGTGAGGGGTAAAAAAGACAGTGATTCAAAAAGTTTTAACCCTTCAGCACACGCGTTTCTTATAGTTACACGAGGACACGCGTAATGTGGAGGAAACCTCCGCATGTACAATATGTGTAAGTCAGTACTGGAGGCCGCGCGATAGCTCAGGCGGTTAGTTGCACATGTACTATAACACGAAATTACCGATTCAGTGTGACAAGATCAAACTGCTACTACTGCACATAAATGACAGTGCGTCGGTTTCGTGAAAAACTTCATTTCGCTTGCTATTAAATAATGAGTGAATGAATTTATTGATAGTAAATCCTTTCTAACAAGACACTATCTTACCTTGATCGTCGAAGATTTGAGCATAAAATAAAACAATAGGTGACTAGGCCAAAATGACTTCTACAAGACTTGCGCTTCTGCTAGCTGCCGAGCCACACCTAACGCTATCATCCACAACATGCTGGGTGCATTTATCTATAGAAGTGTTTAGTGATGACGTCACGCTACCATGATGGACTCTTAAACAATTTCCGTAGCAGCCGTTCTTACGGATGGTTATATGCCGGAAGAAAAATTTCTATCGTAACAAGGAACGCGTTTTTCATATAATTTCATTTATGTCTATTGAGTCTTCATTACCCCCAAGAATTTAATTTTTACCCCACTTGGGGTAATTTACCCAGGTTCGCCGACCACTGGGTTATAGGCTCTCACCAGGTCAATTTTGGAAAAGAAGGAACAGCCGAAAAGCTGGTTGGAGTAATCGTGGATATGGCGGACAGGGTAGCAGTCAGGAATGGTTTGGGAATTGAGCGCTCTGTAGTCGCCGCATGGACGCCAACCGTTGTCTTTCTTGGGCACAATGTGTAGTGCCAAGGACCATGAACTGTCTGATCGACGATCTGTACCATCCCGCAACATGGCGTCGAACTCTGCTTTTGCGATAGCTAGTCTGTCCGGTGCCAGTCGCCGTGGTCGGCAGGTTACTGGTGGGCCAGGTACAGTCCTGATGTGGTTGACGGTGTTGTGTCGTATCTAGCGCTGGACTGCAGCTTGGCGGATCAGGTCCGGGAACTCTGTGAGGGGGCTGTCGATCGGTGTGTTGCCGCTGATTGTCTTTACACTGGGGATCAGTGCGTTGGCCGCTGAGGCCGGGACTGACAGCGTCGTGACCCCGTCCAGGATGCGGCTGTTCCGACAGTCCACCAGGAGGCCGAAATGCGACAGGAAGTCCACGCCGATGATAGGATGCGTGACGTCGGCCAGCAGGAAGCGCCACATGAATTCTCGGCGTAGGCCCAAGTTGAGGCTGAGAGGCAGCCACCCGTATGTGTGGATGGTAGTGCCATTAGCCGCACACAGGTCATAGTAGGTACGTTCCATGCGTCGATGGACGAGCCTGCGGGGGTATACACTGAGGTCCGAACCCATGTCGACTAGGAACTGCCGTTTGCTCACTCTCCGTTATGAAGAGGCGTCCTTTCGTCGTAGCGCAGACATGTCCCGCCGATGTCTGCTGCGTCAGTTTCCCTGCTGGCGGTAGGAGCAGAGTGGAGTACAATTTTTGTGCTCCAGCGCAGAAGCGGCGGTGGTAACAGCAGATACTGGATGTGGTGTCGCCACGGGAGGGGGATCTGCTGCCGGGCCGGCTGTTTTTGAAGGCGGGGCGGGAACCATTTGGACTGGAGCCTCTGTCTCTAGGTTTCTTGTCGGACTCCCTGAAGCGGGGGTCGAGGCGGTCCTGTTCGTTGCTGAGTGCAGCCACTTGGCGGGAGAGTTCAGCGGTCTCCTGCCGAAGTGCGCCGCTGTCTGGGTTCATCAACGCTAGCGAATGCTGGCTGGACTTCGACTTCGGAGATGCGGTCCGCACAGAGGGCTGCGGCCTCCAAGTTGCTCTCGTTCTGGCCGGCGAGGAAGCTCTGCACGTTGCGGGTTAGCCGGCTGGTCCAGACGCTTCGGACGACGTTATCAGACACGTATGCTGCGAGAATTTTGAGGTACGTCAGGAACAGGGACGGCTTATGGTCGCCAATTTCCTCGACCGTGAGGAGTTGCCGGATTGGCTGCTCTGGCGATGAGGATAGCCGCCTCACAAGCTCGGTCCTCAGTAGGGTGTAGGGGCCTCGTTCGGGTGGAGAGGTGATGATATCCTTCACCTCTGTGGCGTATCGGTGGTCCAGCTGTGAGATGACGTGGCAGAAATTGATCCGCTTGCTGTTAATGCCGGCCAAGGTGAACTGCGCCTCGGCCTGGGCGAACCACACGGCTGGTCTCTCGGGCCAGAACGGCGGGAGCCGCACGGCCATTCTGGGCACTTCTGCTGATGAACTGTCTGCAGTTTCCATGTTCAGTCGGGGTCTACAATGTGGGATTGTCAATGTTTGAAATGACAACCACTTGAAACTCTTCACACTTGTATATATATTGGATTGATTAAAAGGAATTTACAGAACACAGGATATATATATAATGTTAAAGCGTTAGCCGGCCCCCAAGGGGCAGTTCGTGCCACTGCAATTTCACTCCTGTGTAGCGGGCGGAGTCCACGGCCGTTTAGCTGGCCATATCTGGACGGTGATGCAGTGCTGCGCGCGCCGGTAGGATCGGCTAGCTCGGCCGGTTGCTGGGCTCGCAGAAGATGTGTCTGCTGGAGACTTGCTGCTGCTGCTTCGGTTGCCTGGTCGCTGGAGGCCTGCCGCAACTAGAGCTGAAGTGAGGAGCTGATGTCTCGACGACCGATCGCAGTGTAGAGTTGATGGCTGAACTTGCTGAGCAGAATGTGTTCACTGCTCTTGCGATCAAGGTCATGGTCATGGTCATGTTACAACTAACGGTCAGTCAGTCTGTCTTGGTGTCCAGCCCCAGTTGGCACTCATGACCAGATATTTCTTTTGAATTAAAGTTACTGTCTTGTTTATGTGGGGCGCCGTCTCTGACGAGAGGTAGGGTCTGTCATTTGTTAGTCTATTTTATTATGTCCACTGTCTGGATTTACATAATTTACAAATCCACACTTGTACCTTCTATGTACAATATATACAAGGCCTCTGTCAACCCAGGCATTGTACAGCAGATTATGCCCTATTTCTAGTAGTAATCGCTACCACGGCAGTCTGGTCACTTGAACGGTCGTATGTCTAACCGCCGCCAAGTTTAAGCCTCTTATACTTTCTGTGGCTGGCTTCGCCTTGTATGATGTTGCGAACATTCTCATTTTCATGATTTTGTATGACTTCTGCTTGTTGCCTGCATAATTTTGTTATAAAGTCATATACGTATGGGATTTTGAATGCCATGTGTAAATCGCGGACCGGTGTGCGCCTGGAAAATTGCCAGTCGTGCGGAGAACCTTGTTTTGCAGGCGCTGCAATTTCACTAGATGGGTGTCTGCCGCAAACTCCCAGGCGGGACTAGCATAAGTCATTACAGATCTAATAAGAGCTTTATGGAGGGTCAGTTTATTGTTAGCGCTCAATCGCTCACTTTTGAAAAGGGAATATACTCTAATGAATGTTCTGAAGGCCTTGGTTTCGATCATTTCTATGTGTAATCTCCAAGTCACTTTCTTATCGAAGATTACACCTAGATATTTTGCACTATTTACAAATGGTATATTTCTTACATTTAGTGTAGACAAGACTCAGGCCGTCGATGACCACGAGAGAAGTAGACCCCCCAAGTCTTATCTTCATTAATTTTTATATTCCAGCGCTCACACCAGGTCTCCATTGAGCTGAGACCGCGCTGGAGTTTTCTAACAATAAAACCCTCTTTGCGATCTGTCGCATACAGACAGGTGTCGTCTGCAAAGAGGGCCAGGTGAACGCC